GAGCACTTGGGTCCTGTGCCCGTACCGGAGATATTCCTGAAATCCCAGCTGCAGCTGCATCATCCGGCCACCTTTGCCCAGGTCTTTCCCGGCTACATGCAAAGCGCTAAAGACGGCGCCGGCACGCCAGTGGAACGCCAGCAACTCGGACGCCAACTGCAGGAACAGCTCTCCCACTACCTGGATATAGTGGAGGTACGCATTGCCCAGCAGGTAGCCCAGAAATCGGCTGCTTTCTTTCATGCCATGACCACACAGCATGCGATCCTGGCGGAAATGCAGCAGGCGGCGGAGCAAGTGCGTCAACTGCGCTCGGCGCTGGCGCAGCTTCATGGCAGCGCCGTCACGGACAGCTTCCGGGTGATGCGATACGCCCAGCGCCGGCAACACTATCAGACGACGCTGGACAAGCTTCGGCTCATGGCCACCGTGCACAAGACGCAGCCCATGCTGCAGTTGCTCCTGGGCACCCAGGATTATGTGGCCGCCTTAGATTTGATTAGCACCACACAGGAGATTCTCGCAGCCGAGCTGCTGGGCGTCCACTGCTTCAAGCATCTGCCCATGCAGCTGGGCGAAATGGAGAAGCTAATTGATAAAATGTTGACCACGGAATTCGAACGTTATGCAGCCAACGATCTGAATCGTCCGCTGTCCGATGCGGATCTGGAGTCGGACAGCGTCTGTGCCGAGGAGGACAAACTGGTGGCCATTGTGATGGGGCTGTTGCGCAAGCAGAACTTCAGCTTCGTGCAGAGCTATCAGCAGGAGGCGATCGCCACTATTCGGGCGATCATTAAGCAGCTGCTCATTGAGCTCCTCTCTCGTGGAGATCAGGAGCTGTGTCTGACTGGAGCGGGCGAGCAGGCCCTTGACTTGACCCTGTCCGAGTGGCTGGCCATACTGCAGCGAGCCAGCCACGCCCTGGTTGCTGTGCTGGAGCGGGTCAAGGCGGTGGTTTCGATTATGCAACAAACGGCCGATGCTGCCGCCGGTGGCCTCGATCCGCACGAGCATGCCGTTAACCTCATCGACTCCGAAGCCTTTCTCAGTGCTGCACACCATGAGCAGCTCAGCGCGCAGCTCCAGCAATTGCTTCAGGCCGTCTGTCACTATTGCCACGAGCGTTGCGCCAATATTGTCTCACCACAAAGCCTGGAGCGAAGTGTGGCCACGGAGCAGGAGCTGCTGCAGTTGTCCCAGGTGGTGCAGGAGTTTGGCGATGCCACACTCAGCATTTGTGGGGCGGCGAGTGTGCCGCTCCAGCTGGCATTGAAGGTGCAGGCCTCGCGGTACGCACAACGCTTCCATGCGGAGCGCAAACAAAAGTTGGCACTGCTGCTGGATCAGGAGCGCTGGCGTCAGGTGGACATACCACATGAGTTCCAACGGATCATCGAAAGAATGTCCGCGGGCGATTACTCCAAGCAGGCGCCCCTGGATGGCAGCAGCCACATCACGGGTAACGGCGGCATCGTGGCCGGCAATCCGGTGCTCCTCGTCGAGGGCAAACAGCCCTTTGCCCTGGTCAGCGTGGCGCTGCTCCTCATCCAGATGCTGTACGAGTATGGGGGCAGTGCTCAACGTCTGCCCCTGCTCGCCGGATATCACTCCCGGAACGTGATAGATCTCTTGCGCTGCTTCAATTCGCGCAGCTGCCAGCTGATCATTGGCGCCGGAGCGATGCGCGTGGCCGGACTGAAGACGATCACGAGCACGAATCTGGCGCTGGTGTCGCGGGCGCTCCAGCTGGTGCTCTACTTGCTGCCACGGCTGCGGGAGCATTTCGAGAGCATGAGCGGGTATGAGGCGATCGAGCGGGACTATCAGGGTCATATCAAGGAGATCGAGCATAAAATTCATGGCATCGTATCGGAACGGATTGCGGCACAGTTGGAGGCATGGGATGCTCGGCCGCCGATTCCATCGCAAACATTTCGTCATATTTCCAGGCATTTGGTCAAGCTGCATGAGGCGATCGCCGGTGTGCTGCCGGAGGCACAGATCCATGAGATCTATGGTGTGGTGCATCGCAATTTCAAGGACAAGCTGCGGGAGCAGCTGCTCAAGCTGAATGTCTACAACAATGGGGGGCCGCAGCATGGAGTTGTTACCTCGGAGCTGACCTTCTACATGGAGACGTTGCGTACGCTCAAGGCGCTGCCCGCCGATCAGCTCGATAACGGTATACTCGAGCACATCTGGGTGTATTGAGAGCCTATTGAGGGCGTGGCACTATGACCGGATTGCTGTCGGATTTATGAAATCTATAGCAATTCAATGATCGATCAATCCGATCGAAACGTTCCGTTCCGTTCCGTTAGTCTCTATTTTATTGTCCTGTTTTTGTTGTGTAATCGTCTTTGTTTTTATTTATATAAGCATTTAACCTCTTGTAATATTTCCAGTATCTGAAATTTTGTGTATTTTTGCAAGTGTATATTTATGCAAATCCTTAAGTTAAAGAACAGAGAATGAAGAACTTCCTCTTAACTAATTAATTTAGCGAAACGTTTTGTTTGCTGATTTAAGCGGAGTCCATGAACCTAAACAAATACAAATTATATAAATAATATGAGAAATTTATATGTTTTAATTATTGGATAATTGAATTTAGATAATGGAATATATAAATTCTATTCCCATTGAACTGGAATAAAATGGAAATAGCTAAGGATATAAATCCTATAGCAATTTCTGGTTAGGCGTACTAAAAAAAAAAAAAAAATATTAAAGTTAGTGTATGTAATATTTGTTTAGTTATATCTGTTAATCTATAATTTGGGCATTCACTAAATAATTTTATTTGGGAACATTGTGGTCCGAGATTAATAGAAGTGGGAATCCTAATTGGTGGACAAATATACATGTTTGTATATAACTAAAGAAAATTCTAGATGGGAATGAAATGTAGCTTATTGATATTATATTATATAAAATTGGCACAGTTCCGTGAATAATGCATATATATTTTTGTGTACTGGATATGGCGATATAGCCTCGACATACAAGATATACACATCGATGTTTACGATAAATATCCAAGATAAGGTTGGATTCATACATTATATCTATCAGCCAAGGGATGTTTATAAATATTAGTGTAATTAAAAACAAGACTCAAATATAAAGAGCTTTTTTCAGTTTAGTTAAATTTTAATTAATAGAAATTACAAATAAAATGCGCTATATTAATAAACATTTTTCCGCATTGAAATCAAGTTTAAAATTCTTGTTAATAATGGATAATAATAAATTTCAATTATTATTACATACATCTATATATAGCTTTGTCAAATTGAAGCACTATATCGTAAAACAGAAATATTTCTTACAGCTAACAACAAATTTTCGTCTCTTCATAGCTTAAATATAGAAATTGTGACTAAAACAAAATGTATTCTAACATATTTAATGAAGTTGTTCCTAAAGCTCCCACTCGAAGTCTGTGAAATATAAATAAGATGGCAACGAAGGATTGAATATATCGTCTTTAGGCTGTTCGATTTCATTCGATTTATATTTTATTGGCTGGCAGGCTATATCGTCAGCATCAAAGTCGGGATGATTAGGGATTTCTTCCAAAACTTCCTCATCCATTTCCAGTGTGTTCAGTAATTTAGATATGAGCTCCTCATTGAGCATGGGTTCGAAATTCTTAAATGTGATGGCTGAAAGATAGAGAGAAGAGATGATAAAGGAACGGAAGAAAGAAGCAGTAATATTAGAGAGTGAAAGGGTATTTAAAAGAAGAGAGCAATGGAGGAGTCGCGGAAGACGGAGATGATAGATAAGATAATATAATAGAGCAGCCAGAAGAAAATATAAGAACAGAGAAGACAAGAAAATTATAATATATGAGAAGAAAAGAAAAGGAGAACATTATAAGGAAAATCAAGAACGGAAATGAGAAAAGGAGAAGGAAAAATTAGAAAAATTGAGATACAGAAGATATAAGATAACGAACGTAAATGAAACAAGTAAAAAGCACAGATAAGAGAGTGAAACTGTGTAAAATAGAAGAATAGGGCAATAAAATATTTTATACAAAGTAAAAACTCACGTTTCTGGCAATTATTTAAGCATTTTGCCGAGGGAAAATCCATGTAGTCGAATAAATCGAAATCATTCGTGGAGTCGGCGCTTTTTGCATAAAGATCGTTCGCCACATTCGGCACAGACTGCGGCGCCTTGAACTGCGCCTCCAGCAGCTGCTGGGACGCCGATGCCTTTTGGGGCAGCTTCCGATGCTGTTTCTGCAGCGTTTCTTTGCAAAGGGAAATTTTTGGCGCGCAGCTAGCGGGAAATTTCGTGTTGGCGCCTTTGAAGGGCGTCAGATGCGGTTTATTGTTTAACATGTTGTCCAATTTGCCGAGCACGCTCTTTTTGGCGGACTGCTGCAGTGGATTGTCGCCCATGGCCTTGCGTGCTGAGCGGGGCAGCACTAAAAAATATAATTATCAAGTTAAGGCGCAAAAAAAAAAACACTTGGTAATTTTCGCGGGTTTTTTCCTCACTTACTGTGTGCACCCGCATTTTCGTTGTCCATCCAGATTTGAGCCATTCCGTATACAGTATAGTTTGCTGTTTAAATTAGCAAGATATGCGTGTGGTTTGTATATTTTTAATTTTATTTATAACGACGCCAAGCTGCTCAAATTTATTGTTTCATATAAAAACAGAGTTGCTCGACCAGTACAATGTGACCGTAGTTGGCTATGTAGAAAATACTCAAGATTTTATACAAAATGTTCCACCACTTGTCGTATAAATATCCCACAATTGATTAATTTTACACTTATTTAAGTATTTTAAGAATTGTTAATTAAATCTTACAACAAAATATAATAACAGTTTCTCTCTTTATCATAAAAATTAAACAGAAAAATTGCCCGCCTCAGCAATGTTTATTAACATTAGAGCGGCATTACATGCTGTTGTACTCAAAAAGGCAAATGTTGACTAACATAAAATGAGGGTAAACTGTTTATGTTCTGGTCGCGCTCTTGAGTTCAAAAAAGACCATTGGACGGGTAGGTCGTGCGTCGGGTGTGTAGTAAAATCTCGGGAAAAGCCGTTGATGATTCGTCGTCGCGTCGCGCGTGTTTCTGTGTTTGTGCGTGTTTTTGGATTAATAAATTAACAAGATCAAGAAATCCAATAACATGAATATGCGGCGGCAATTGTAGCGATTCGTGTGCTTGCGATTAAACCAATAAATAATACACAAAATCGCAACAGCCGAACGTGTGTGTGAGTGCCAATTGCAAGACAAAATGGCTGCATTTCAACGCATTTAATGCGCGCACAAAAACAACAACGAAAGAGAACAACATACACAAAGCATACGCAAACATGTAAGTATGCTCGGCTCTGTATGTGTGTGTGTGTGTAGGACTGAGTGAATTGTGTGAATTGCGTGTTGGTGTGTGTAACAGGCAATGAGTAACGCGGCATAACAATATTTAATTAGCACCACAAAACTGTGAAATGTCTTTTTAGAATAATGCAAATATCTAAAATCACACCCAAATATGTGAAAATATAAATACAATAGTGTTTGTTTATAACGGCTGCTGTTTGTTTGAACAGAGACTTATATTGTTTGTACCGCAGAAAAAGAAATCAGAAATATTAACATAAATTTTTATTGAGCTCCAATGAGTATTTGTTTTATTTCGTTTAAATTTGTTATAGTTCGGTGTTTTGTTTTAAAATATGCCATTTGTTTATGCCGCAGCAACAATAACAAAATAAACGCGCACAATCAACAATAACATAAAATTTCTATGCAATTGCAATGAGTGTGCGCTCTCTTTTGATTAACTTCACTCTTTCTCTCTCTCATTCTGTTTTGGCGTCTCTCAATTGTGCGCGTACTCAATTGGTTCTGTTGAGTGAGTTTTGTTTTGAGTAATGTTTGTGAGTGATTTATTTTCTAGTTTATGTGTTTTTTTATTTTAGTATAGAAGAGGGTGGTGTTAGTACATATTATTTTAGCTGAAGACATTAAGAAACATTAAACCAACCGCTATTAATTGTAAACATAAATTCAGATATTTGACTTTGTGTGTTTGTACGGGTGTGTGACTTAGTTCACCACTCAATACTTATATTGTCTATCTCTCTTACGCGGACGACTTGAGACAGCCAAGAACTCGAAAGACACTCACGCAAGCAACAGCTGCTGCATTCACATTGCTCCCCACTTACCTCTTTCTTATCTTCTTATTTTACAGCTCTGCTACAATAACCGCAAAAACATCACCAACAACAACAACAACAGCAACAACTTTGTTGAGAATTCAAAACTGTAAATTTCGTTTCGAACGCGTTGCGGTGTTTTTTCTCTTCTCGGTTTTTCGTTTTCTTTTTCATTGATTTTTACGGGCAAAAATTAAAAAAGAGGAAGAAAATATAATAATAATAGCACAAAAGTGAAAAGTGATGTATAAAAAGCATAAATCATTACATATAAAATTGTTGCAGTATACGTGTTCAAATAAGATCGCATTAAATCAAGAATCATAAAACCCAAATAAAAAAAGAAGAAAAAAAAAGGAAAAAATAAATAAATAAAAATAATAGTAAACAAAACGTCGTGCGTGCAAAAAAGTGGTGTAAAATTTGATGGTGCTCTTATATGTGTGCGTGTGTGGATATGTGTGAAAATAGTAAATTTTAAATGGAAATCAAGTTGAAGTGGAAGTTTGTTGCAGTTAGTTAAGATTCGATCAAAACGCTCACAACCAAAATCAGATTAAACTACTGCCAAAAGAAGTAAATATAAAAAAAAAAAAAAAAAAAATACAAAAATATTACAAAATTAAGAAAACTTAAGGATTTCACATCTTTCGACACGTTGGATACCATTTACATATAATGTCATCAACATGTGGATTAAATATAGTTTTCATGTCGATCATTTTCATTATCATCGTAAATGGTAAGTGATCTTGTGTGAAAAGACCAAAACTGTATTTTAATAATTTAAACATGTTCGTTTATTGTTAATTTATCGATGATTCTTTAAGTAATATGAAACAACATGTGATATAAACGTTTTTTTCATCGAATCGTACTCGATGATATTTTAAGATTTACATTTTTCTCATTCTGCAAACGTCATAAGAATACGTGATCCATATATATATTCGGTTTTTGAAATGATTTCCGTACACATAACTTTTGTATGACTCAACTCGAGCGTTATTTAACATGAGCTTTGTTCGGATCTCAGTTTCACACAGTCAACTCGTTAATATATGCCGGAATGTATAGATATCTGTGTGTATATATACATATATATAGGTATATAGGTAGATAGATATATCTGGAGGAGACAACTGGCTGCTATTGTGAAGACCTTGACACCTGCGGGCTGAGCAAAGCGTATCTATTGTTTCACCTGCAAAGACGGCTGCTGTCATGGTAGCTCCCGCTGTCGCTGCCGCTGCCGCTGCTGTTGCTAAAACCTTGATTGTGAGGCACGTTTTGTAGAAGCTGTAAAATATTATAGCTGTAACAAAGTTCTACGGCCTTAAAAGTAAAGTGTTTCGCTTTTATTTTGTTCAAAGTTTACAAAGAAAATTGTTAAGAGCCTTAGAACATGACGCACAAATGGGTCTAGAAAAGAAATACTATTTTCTTTTGCAGGCATTAAATTAAAATGAAATATGAAGTGAAAAAAAGTACTAACAAATAAATATGTAGATTAGGGGAAAAAAGTTAACTTATTAATATTTCAAAAGATTTACATTTAACACAAGATAATAATAATATTTTATTAGTATTATTTAAATTATTTCTTGGCATGTTAATTAAAAAAAAAAAAACCCTATTTACGAATCAATATATAAAAGCCGTTAAGAATTCCTCTTGAGTTTAATATATGACTGCATAATACATAAGAATAATTCTCAAATTAGAAGGGAAATTGAATTCAAAAAAATATTGAGGAAAAACCCATTTGAGTAAAGCTAACCATAAATTTCATCTGTATACACACACATACATAAATACATCCACACAGAGGCACATAACAGACGCACATAAATAAGCAAAGCGATTAAATGCAGTCGTCGTTTGTGAAATAAGAGTAATACAAAGAACAATGCCAAGTAATTAGGAAAGTGGGTACTAAAATTATAAGAGTACAAAAAGAGAATCGTATGCCAAACCACCCCCTCTACTCATGCCACTCCCAAACACCCACAGACAGAGCGTAATTATTTGTGTGCTTTTATGAAAATGTTAACTTAATTTCTGCATGATTGAGCATTTATTTCAATGTTATTGTCTATGGGTCTTGGGCATTTGTAACGCCCTCAGCTCTGTGCTGTACACAATACTCTTGCGCCCCTTGCCGAGTTCTATCTGTACTATTGTGGCTTTTGTATGACTCTAATTATTGCTGTGCCCACAGTCAAGTGCTAGTCGGGTGCAGGGTTTATTAAACAAGTGTATGTATCGTATTTATGTATATAAACGTTTATGTATACATACAAAAAATATATGTATTTGCATATATATTTGCATTGACCAAAATAAATACTATTGAAATATTACAGATATTTAAAAAAAAAAAAAAAAAAAAAAATCATAAATAATTATAGATAAAAATATATTAGTCGAAAATGAAATTCTAAATAAGTAAATAAAAGTGTCTCAGAAATAATAAAGATATTACAGATATATTAATGTATTTACGACAATTAAGCAACCAAAATTGATGTGTATTATTAGTAAAATAAAAGTCAAGCTTCATCTAAAAATAACACACGAAACAATAAATAATGTAGTATGGCAATTAGAAGCCACTTGCCTTAATTTGCTGGTCAAGCATTACAAAATACGGGCGGGCAGCTCTCCAAGCCAACAGAGACACAGCAACAACTACTCAGCTAATTAGCTGTGTGAAGCAACCAAAAACAAACAACAACAAGAAAAACAACAGCGTCAACAGAGACAACAATAAACCAAGTGAAAACCGGTTAATCCACTCGTTTTTGCCGGCTTATCTAAAAAAAAAAAAAAAAAAAAGAAAGAAAAGAAGAAGACAAAGAGGCCGAAAGAAAATTTCGCATTGAGTACGAAATGTTTATCGTACGTATTAAACGTTAGGGTCAACGTCTTGTATATTAAATGATAAACAAATAAAAAATTCATGCTTCTATATAGATATAGTTAAAATCGAAAACTATATACAGATACTAATAACTAGATACAAATGAAAATGTAACTTATAAATAGATAAATACACAGATACAGCTGCAAATATATATATATGTATATATGTATATAATGATATACATGCAGATACATATAAAAATACAGATATAGATATGAATACAGGTACAAAGATACAGATACAACGATACAGATACAGATATGGACACAGGTACATATTGAAATACAGATACAGATGCAGATACATAGAGACATGCAAATAGATACAGATACATGTAACTATATGCTGATACATATAAATAGATACAGATACAACTTTACATATATAAAAATACAGATAAATATTCAAATATAGATACAGATAAAGCTACATAATTTCTGCGGCTGGCTGCTTTGGCTCACACGGTAGCAACTGCCTTTGCCTTTGGCTTTTATCTTCGTCTTCTGCTCCCTCTTAGTCTGTGGTTATTTGCCCCGCCCCCCGCCCCATGGTCTCGCTTACTCGCACGCTCGCTTGACCAAGTGACCAGCCACAGCGGAAGCGCAACAACTACAACACATAAATACAGCAAGAGCAACAGTCTCAGATACAGATACTGATACTGATACAGATACGGATTCAGCTCAACAGCAACTACTGAGCACAAATACTCGTTTTACTTATTTTCTTTGGTGGCACTTATTGCTTGTCGCTTTGTATCGTTTTCTTCTTTCTTTCTTTTTCCATTTTTATGCCTCTCTACTCATGTTAATTTCGAACGTTGGAAGAGTTTGATAAATATTCTCTAATGAATCATTGTTGTTTACTAAAAGTATTTGAGATGTATAGATAAGTTTTACTGATTATTCTTAATACGATTAATTTATGTAAAACTATAATGTTTGTATATTGTATAATTATTTTAAATTTGTTATATATCATTTGAATATTTCTGATGTCATTAACATTAACATTCAATTATTCAATCAGAAAAATGCCTTCCCCATTTATTTACCTATGAGGTATGCAAACAAATTGATGTAAACGATTGCATTTATTAATAACAAAAACCACATTTATTTTTGTTAATTACAATTAAACGCAAATAATTCAAAGCAAAACAAACAAAACTAAAAAAAAAGAGAGCATATTTGTAAGCATTCTGTTGTAATCAAACGCCTGAATACATAAATACATAAGCGTAATTATATATATTTTTTTAGCTCACATAAATTAAGAATAAATACAAAACCAACAAAATAAAGGCATTTTTTATTTTGTTTTATACCTAATCCGTTTTTATTTATTTTTTTCATTTAATACGTTTGGAAAATAAAACTGGAAATAAAAAGTAAAAAAATAGAATTGAATTTATGTGCACGGATCAAAGTTTTCTGACTAATCCTGAACAAGGATTAGTATGCTGTTAAAGTCAGCAAAATAAATATGAAGCTATATATATAAATATAAAGTTGATTATGTATTAGATATTATAAAACTATAATGATTTAAGTGATCAAAAGCAACTAAATTTGTATTTTAAAAATATTATTCTATTAAATAATTAAATATATCCCATATCTTATATTGTATATATCTCATTAAAAATGATATATTTATAAAATTTACCTATTGAAAACAAGTAAAATGAAAGGTATTTGTATTTCTCTAAATGTGTAAAAGCAGCTCTTAATCGATTCACATTTTGCTTTGCTTGCTGCATACTCGCCTGAAAAATAAAATTGAATCAATAATAATAATAAAATAATAATTGATAAACCTCAACCTCAGTTCAGAAGTTAGCTTAGACTGCTAACGAATTGACAATGCATCATGCAACCGCATATAAAGCTTATACACTAATTGCCATAACTCTATGCACATACGCACATATACATACACACACACAATTATCAGTGCTGCCGTTTTAAAATGTGGTAAACCGCAAGGGAAATCTCGACGCGCAGCTGCCGTTGTGTGCACACATATATACATAAATATTTTATTTGATAAGCAGCTGCTGAGTGCCGTTTAAAAAATGCTATATATATGTACATATATAGATGAAAACATATATATATATTATATTTCCGATATGGCAAAGGCGTTGGCAATTTGTCATAAATCACAAATGAGCGCAGGATGGGCAAAAGCAGGGCTGAAATAAAGACAATGAAAATTGAGACAAACCTTACACATTTTAAAAAAGCTTTTAATACACTAACTAAACGTACTTTGGTTCTGTTGAAACGCTTGTGAGGACTAAGAAACACAATTTTAATATATGCTTTTATTTAATACAAATATAAAGAAATTGTTAAACGAATATTAAATATTTGATTCATAAACGTAATAAATTTTATTACTTTATATATTTATATATTATAAACTTAACAAATAAAGCAAAAATGTTATTCCATATATACAAAACTTTTCTATACCAGTTTTGCAAGGGTATAACAAATTCAATTTCACCGAACATAGACAAACTTTCTTGTTTTTATTTGCGGTACGTGTCAAGTGCAATAGGCAAACAAAAAGAAGATATACACAGCCATAACCCATGACCTATCAAGCAGCGCTCACCGCTCACCGAGCACCACCCACCGCCACCAGCACATGCCAGCCCATTTCTAGCTGCTGTGCTGTGGCCCCATTTCCTCAATTCGTTTTTGGTGTCCTCACTTTTTTCGATTTCCCACGTATGATTGACTGCTGGCCCAATATATCTGCAGCTATTTGTTTTGTATCTGACAGATACATGCGGTAGCTATGCT